ATGAGTAAATTTCTTAAAGAGGAGAAATTCGTTTATTCCAAGAGTAAATCTATCTAAACTTATTCCGTTCAATAACTCATATTCTACATCAAATTTCAACGATTCAATCGTTGAATTTAAAATTCTTAATGCATAGATCAAGTTTGCAAATTTTTAGAAAATTTAAAAATCATTTGATACTTCATTTCGTTAATTCAAATTGAGGTTAAGCAACATTTATAACTCTAAACTTCTTCGGAACTTAGTGCACATGGATAATTAATGATTATAAATACAAGTGTCTACATTTTAGAGGTTCATCCAAAGAATAGGGATATTATCTTTTTGCACTCTTAATTTTACCTTCTTTCACATTTATTTTACAATTAATAGAAAATATTTAAATTTTAAAAGGGTAAAAAAATTAGAAAAAATGAGTTTGAGCGAAAAAAAAAGTTTGAACTTAAAAACGATTAAAATATTATTAAATATTTTTTTTTACTTTTGTCTAAATATGTAAGACCGCAAGCCTATTTCCATCTCTTTTTCCCATTTTCTTCTCCTAAACCTCATTCATTTTCTTGTTGATTCTTAAGGTTGTTAAGCAATTGGTGTGCTAGGGAGCTTTGAAGCCCAGAGGCGAATTCCCATTCCATTTTCTTCTTCTTCTTCTTTAACCTTGGAGTAGCTCGGAGTTCATCGTTCACTCTGTTTCGAGGTAAGGGAAGCTAGAACTCAAATTTGTTGTACATTTTGGGTTGCATGTAGTTGGAATCATCTAGGATGTGATTTGGGGGCTGAGTAGTTGGGTTGGGTGGATTGCATGTTGTTGGAGCTGTGGTGTTCTTGAATGAGTTGGGTAAAAATGAGTGATCATGAAGTTTGATACATGCATGTCAAAATTTTCGTGGTTTCTAGATTGCTTGAACGAGTGTAGTAGTAATCATGGGTGTAGATCATATTTAGAAGAAAGATTAGTGAAGGGAAGGAGATGATCAAAGGTGAAATCCATGAAATTGTAGAAAATTCTGAGATCTACAACCAGTGACGGATCCAGAAATTTTAGACAGTGAGGGCAATACTTATTCATATATTTGTAATATTAAAAATTTTATATATAACTTTTAAAGGCATAAATATATATCATAATTATTTTTTACAAGTTTTTATATCTACGATTATAATTAAAGATGAAAATAAATTAGGTCAGATTAAATTTTATTATAATTTAGTAGGTTTGAACCTAACAATCTTTAAAAATATATATCATAAGTATGACTTATCTATCTATCATAGATATTTTTTAAATGTTTGGTTAAAACTACAATCCTAAATACTCACTTTATAATAATTTAACACTAGTAAAAGTATAAAAATAAATATGTTAAATTTTATAAAGATCAAGTTTAATTTATTTATGATATAAACATGTTTTTAATATCTAATATATATTTTTAAATGATAATTTATTTTAAAATATATTTTATAATAATAATTCTAAATAAAACATAAATCTTCTAAGTTTTCTTATTTTGATTTTTTTAATCAACACATACAATTTTACTGTTTTGATTTTTTTTAAACAATGTATACAATAAATAGAAAATACAAAAGCTAAACATGCATACTGCAAATTTTATTTTATCAAAAATTGATTTTTTAATATATTACATTATATATGTGAGTATTAAGATATATATATTAAAAAATTTTAAAAAATTAATTCATTATTAAGGAGTATTCTTTATCACATAAGAGAATTAGTCTCCTTCAAAAGTTTGATAAAAATCAAATAAATAAAAATCTTCTATGAATCTATATTTTATACATATGATGATTTAAAAATATATAATTATGTTATTAGAATATAATTTTTATCTTTTAAAATATATTATTTTTTAGATAAAAAATTATGTATTTGTCAAATAGTAGTGGGGGCAAGTGCCCTCACTCTTCAAAACGTGGATCTGTCCCTATCTGCAACCATGGTCGTGGTTCATGGCCATAACCATGGGGTAAAAAATGAAGTGGCATATACTTGTAGCCATGATCGTGGTTCATGGCCATGGCCGTGGTTCATGGCCATAGCCATGGGGTAAAAAAAATGTGATAGAGACTTGCAGCCAGGGTCGTGGTTCATGGTGATAGTCGTGGGGGTAAAAATGTAGTGGTAGAGACCTACAACTATGGTCATGGTTCATGGCCATAACATGTGAGATGGAAACTAAGTTGGCAGAAATCCAGCGCTAAATCCCTGATTTGAGCGCTATAGCGGTGAGGGTAGATGACTGAATTTGGTCTTTAGGTCTTCATAAAAGTTGTATCCTTGGATGTTAGATTTCCAATGGATCTGGAATCACCCAAAAAGGAGGTTTAGAACTCCAATTATGACCTTTTTAGTGAGCAAAGGTTAAGCTGACAGGATTTAGGCTAAGTGTTGTGGTTTTTAAAATTTTTAACAAGGTAGATGATGGAATTATGACTTTATGTCTTCGTGAGATTTGTAGGAAATCTTCTTATCTTTCATATGAGATAAGGATGAGCATGATAGGAGTAGTATAAATTCATATATGTTATTTTCTGTGAAGATTGCCATTTCACAATAAGTGATTTGGTTAAGTTGAAAGTTGTTTTGGGTGCTTAGGTTGATTTATGTTGTTTATGTGTGTAAGTTGGCATGATAAATGAGTTGTAAATATGTATTGAGTTGTATTATGTGATGAAAATGTTGTGTGCTGATATAGAATGATAAAATGTTGAATAATAATGATTGTTGTAGTATGATGAGAAAACATAGTTGTGAGTTGAGAGTTGCATGTTGAACCCTAGTTGTGTAGATGTATAGAGATGGTATCTAAGTTGTTGAGTTGACTATGTTGTTTAAAGTTGAAATGAGTTGATAGTTGAGCTGATAAGATGATAATTGTGTTGTTGTGTCGTGATGATGAGTTATTGATCACTAGGACTAGAGGAGATGTTTTCAAAATTGTTCATCTCATTATGTTGATTGAGATAGTTGCGGTGCTCTAAGAGTCCAATTTGTTGGGTGGGATACCCTCCTTCGAAAGTTGTCCCTTGGAGTGGATGATGTGTTATTCTCCTCTAGAACTTAGTTGATCCCGTGTGTGGGTAAGGTCGAGGCACACGTGTATGAAGCGACCACGATATAGGGCCTAGGTGGAGCTATACCGATTACAAGCGACTAATTCGAGTAAAGTACAAAGTCAGGAACTAAGTTCCTAATCAATTATTAGAGAGTTGTAGTATTTGGAGGATAATTAGTAGAATAATCTCATATAAGACTTAGTTGAGCTAGCTAATGTCGTGGTAGGCCTAAACCCAGTTGTCATATCTTGACAAAGTACTATACTTCCTTGTTTAAGTGACAAAGTCTGAGAAACCGTTATCTTCTTGTGGATTTTTATCCAAATTTGTTGTTTACCTAGCAAGCCCAAAAAGATTCTATGTTGTTGGTTCGATAGGACCTAGCCACTTAGACTACTCACTCTATGTTGTAGAAGATCTCTAAGTTGAAATGTATGACAATGCATATGTGTTGATAAATTGTATGTGTTGATATGTTGTGAAGTTGTTATAAAGTTGTGTGTTGTCTATATGTTATGTGTTGCATGATGAATAAGTTGTTATTGTTGATAGTGATGTTGTGTTGTATGTTGCTTTTATATTCATATGTTGTTTAAGTATTATGTGTTGTATGTTGAACAAGTTGATGAAGCTGGTGACAGTGATGCTACGTTGCCTGTGTTGTATATTTCATTTATATGAGCTGTTTATTTTCACTAGCTTACCCTTGCATGTTTCCATGTAAGAGTGGGGTATGGATAGGTTGGTGTTTGCCGTGGAGGCCACCTAGATGACAAGAGCTGGAGTAGATGATTCTATTTTATTTTGTAGACTACTTTAGTTAGAATAATATTTTTGGTTGGCATTGTATATATTTTATGGCCTATTGAGCCATTACTATTGGATGATTGTAATTTTACTTGTGTGGTTAATATAATACTATTTAGTATATATATATATATATATATATATATATATATATATTTAAGGCGGATCATTACAAAATATCCTAAAATTTTATTTTAAATTAATCTGACTCGATAAAAATAATTAAAGCTAGATTAAATTACAAATTATTAAAAATCTTTATTTTTTTTAATTAATATTACTACTAATAATCTTTTAATTTCACAAAATTATAAAAATTTAATAACTATAACACAAATATTAATATCTTTTAATAATAAAATTATATCATAACATAAAGTAATACACATCATAAATTATAAAATAAATAAAATTAATATTTAATTAAACAAGTTATTGGGACCTTGACCAGACATTTAGCTCGGTGAACATGCATACTAGGAAAAATAAGCCAAACAACGCCAATTTTTTTCCAAGCTGATGAGCCGGCAACAAGTCACAGAAAGTTTGGATATTTTTAATATATACTAATATATAAAAGAATATTCTTTTTAATAATTATTTTACTCTTTATATTTAATAAATTATTATATATTTTTATTATTAAAAAAGTTAAAAATAATGATATTTTTTTTATCAAATTCAATTTTTTAAAATTAAAAAGTTATTTATATTGGATCAACAAAATTTTATCACTTGATTTTAATTAAAGATACGAAGTGACTCAATTTATTAATTATTATGATTTTTTTCATATGACAGTCGAGATATTTTTTTTATATAATAATTAAATAAATAACTAATGATTAATAATATTTTAAAGATTTTAAATTTGAATCTTGAGATTGATAAATGTATTATTTTTAAATAATAAAAATATGATAATGTATTAAATATTATTAATAAAAGAAGTATCTCGTATAGATTAATTATTTTAATCATAGTCTATTATTTAAAATGAGAACAGAAACGTGGAAAGAAAAAGGATAAATTATAAAGAGTTAAACTGTCCGTTATTGGGTCAGGCCGAGTCAAAGCGCCTAAAAAACGAAAGGATGAGGTTGAAACCTTAGTTGTGTCCGTATGTTTGAGTCACGACCTTCGATGAGGTTTGCATGGGTTGTTCCATTTTCCATCTTTCCGATCATCGCAAGAGAAAGGAACCAACCATTGCCAAGCTTCTCTTCTCCTCCTCCTTCTCGCGGTGGAGCAGGAGGTGGTAGAAAATGTCTTCCCATGGCGCTGCCACCACGCCACCCTTGAACGTCACCATGGTCGCCGTTGACAAAGACAAGAACAGTGTCCACGCCTTCAAATGGACCACTAAACATATCGACAACCCCATCATCATTGCGGTCCATGTCAAGCACAAAAACCTTCCTCATCGTAGGTACCCTCATATTTTTTTACATGCACGTACTTACTCTTCTTCGATTTTCACCTTCCTTTTACTTTTATGGGGTTTGGAAATCCATTAGAATGACGTTGAGTACAAGTTTTGCGTTATCCAATACAAAAGCAAACTAAAACAAGTCAATGGTTGAAAGTAAAGGATTTTCAAGTTTGTTGGCATCCTTTAAATATTGTCTATTTTGATTTTGACAATAGATGTTTTAGTTTCGACTTCGACCCTTAAACCATGTGAAATTATCCCTTGTACCATTATAATAACAGTTTATTGCTGCCAAAATGATTTTGCATGGTTTTATTTTTATATCACGAGATAGTTTTGGCTTATGTTTACGTATAAGGACCAAAGTTTAATTTGCATGCATGTTACATAGTTTTTTTGAATGCAGACTAAAACTTAAAATGGAGAAAATGGGAACAAATATTCGATTAAACTTATTTTTACGTGACATTCTGTGGTGATATAATCATTTGTGTTACTTATTGTTTATGATTATTCATGCAGAGGGCACCAATGTTTTTCCTCCCGAAGAAGAGGATATAGCCCATGTTTTCAACCCCTTGCGTCAACTGTGTCAGCCCAACGTCGTATGTAATTGATACTTGAGTTCAAGTTAATTTATAGTTTAATTTGTTTAGTAGATTATGAAGAAGATTTTAATTAGAATACCTCTTATCAAATCATAAATTGTTTGAAGCACTTCCTTTTTTGTTGCATTCAACCAAATGGTGTTGGTGATACTTGCAACTTCCAAACTAATGATTTTGCACGTTAACTCAGGTTAAGTTGAAAGAAGCCGTAATCGATGATAGTGATATTGTAAGAGGAATTGTGGAATATGCACAAAGAAATCGTGTCAGTACTATAGTGGTTGGTGCACCCTGCACGAGCAAGAATACTTTGGCAAGGACTCTGAACCTGAGGAGCGGAAGCAAGTTAAGTGTCAGGACATTACATATCATTTTTTGCAAAATTCAATTTTAATTCTTCAGTATAACTTAGTCCTCTTAAAATTAGCAGAAATTGATAAGTGATCATCATGGTCACGCTATAATCTCTACATGTCAGTTTTTTATCAGCAATGAAAATTACGATATAGTAAGATCAAATCCAAATCCTAGTGCATCAACTCCTATCTCTAGATTGACTCTAGTGATTTACATGACATACGATTAAAGTTATTGTTATTATATGATAATTGTCAAGGAAATAGTTGGTAGAATAATAAAAACTTATTTGTATTTAGAAAGTAGTAGTATTAATGGTAATTGTTGTTGTTATAATGAAGTCCCAATTTGCCTATTTATAGGCATGGTGTTCCATCTCTAGCTGATGGTGGGATTATCTAGAATTTTCTAGACTCTTCAAGTCTCTACACTCTTTTAGTTTTTTCTAGAGACTTATACATCTTTTCTTATATTTCTAGAATTTTCTTTTTCTTTCTTATATCTTATCTTATGATTCTAGAATTTTCTTTTTCTTACCTAGAATTTGCATCATAATTTAACACTCCTCCTTGATGCAAATTTCGGTAATTCCAAGCATACTCCGTAGTTGTTCAAACTTTGCTCTTGGTAGTGCCTTTATAAATATGTCTGCAACTTGATCTTCTGTTGAGCAGTATTCAAGTTGAATTTGCTTAGTTGTCTCTACTTCTCTAATGAAGTGATATTTGATGGCTATGTGTTTCGTTCTTTGATGATGAACTGGATTCTTTGCCATTGCTATTGTTGATCTGTTGTCACAGTATATAACAGTTGGTCCATCTTATTGTTCACTCATTTCTTCAAGTATTCTCCGTGGCCATATTGCTTGACTTGTAGTTTCAGCAACTGCTATATACTCTGCTTCTGCTGTTGATTGTGCAACTGTTGCTTACTTCTTTGACGCCCAAGAGAAAAATCCAGATCCTAGTGAGAAGGCATATCTTGATGTACTCTTCATGTCGTCTATTGATCCTGCCCAATCACTGTCGATATAGCTAATCATCCTTGATTTGGTCATGGTTTTATACCATATACCAAACTCCCTTGTCCCTTGTAGGTATCTCAATATTCTTTTTCCTGTTCCATAGTGAATTTGACTTGGCTTTTGCATGAATCTTGATAGAAGACTTATGGCATACATAATGTCTAGTCTTGTGGCTGTGAGATATAGAAGACTTCCGACTAGACTCCTGTATTGGGATGCATCAGCTTCTGGTGCTCCGTCCACCTTTTGTAGTTTCTCATTCATCACTAGCGGTGTACTTACAGGTTTGCATCCGTACATCTTAAATTTCTTCAGTAAAACTTTTGTATATTTCTTTTGTGAGATGAATATTCCATCATTTCTCTGACTTACCTCTATACCAAGGAAGTAACTCATCAAACCAAGATCAGTCATCTCAAAGGTCTTCATCATGTCTTCTTTAAACTCCATCATCATATTTGTAGGTTCCAGTATAAATAAGATCATCTACATATAAAGAGAGTAAGAGAGTATGCTGACCTTGAGTCTTGATGTATAGTGTAGGCTCACTCTTACTCCTCCTGAATCCATGATCAGTGAAGTACTAGTCGATCTTGCTATACCATGCTCGAGGAGCTTGCTTCAGGCTATATAAAGCTTTCTTCAATCTCAACACTTTGCCTTCATGGCCTTTAATCACGAATCCTGGTGGTTGCTCCACATAGATCTCTTCTTCGAGTACGTCATTGAGGAATGTAGACTTGACATCTAGTTGATAGATGTTCCATCCTTTATATGCTGCAAGAGCTATTAAAGCTCTTATTGTGTCTAGGTGTGCGATTGGAGCAAATGTCTCATTGTAGTCCACTCTTGGTTGTTGTGAGTATCCCTTAGCGACTAATTTTGCTTTGTGCTTTTGTATAATTCCATCAGGATTAAGCTTTGTTTTATATACCTATTTTACTCCAATGATATCTTTTCCATGAGGGCAATCTACGAGCTCCATGTATTATTCTTCTCAATCATTTTAATCTCTTCTTCCATAGCCTTGACCCATACTTCTTGGTTTGCTGTCTCTTCAAAGCTTCTTGTTTCAAGTATGGCCAAGTTGCAAGTTTCATATATATCTACCAGTGATCTAACTCGTCTCGGAGTAGACTCAGGTGATGATTCTTCTTGTTGTGGAACTATTCTTGGAGATTCTAGAGAGATAACAATGTCTTGATTGTTATCTTCCAAACTTGATGTAGTTGGTTGATTGATGGACATGTATATAGTCTTCTTCTCAATTTGCTCTTCTTCCTAGTTCCAAGTAGCATTTTCATCTACTTCAATATCTCTACTGATTGTTAGCTTCTTTGTCTAAAGATTGTAGACTTGGTAGCCTTTTGATTGTGAACTGTATCCCAAGAATATGCCTCGTACAGTCTTGTCTTCTAACTTATGCCTTTTTTCATCTGGCACATGAATGTAGCAGATAGATCCAAAGACCCTTAGGTGCTTAGCTGATGGCTTCTTCCCACTCCAAGCTTCTATTGGAGTCTTGTCCTGAACGGCCTTAATAGGACATCTGTTGAATAGGTAGACTGCTGTGTAGACTGCTTCAGCCTAGAATGTATTCAGCAGTCCTTTCTCCTTCAACATCGATCTCGCCATCTCCATGACTATGTGATTCTTTCTCTCTGACACACCATTTTGTTGTGGAGTATATGTGACTGTAAGTTGTCGCTCTATGCCGTCATCTTCGCAAAATTTATCAAACTCGCGAGATGTATACTCCTTGCCACGATCACTTCTAAAGTACTTTTATTTGTTTTCCACTTTGATTTTCGACAAGGGCCTTGAATTTCTTAAATATTCCAAAGACTTCTACTTTGCCTTCAGAAAATAGACCCACGTCATTCTAGAAAAGTCATCAATGAAGAGGATGAAATACCTGTTGTTGGTGTGTGATGGTGTCCTCATCGGTCCACAAATATATATGAATTAGCTCCAACAAGTCCTTGGCTCTCAATGCTTTGCTTGTCGAGAACGACAATCGGTGTTACTTTCTGAGAAGACATCCTTTACAAGCTTCATTATTTTCCTTTAGGTTGGGTAGATCTCTCATCATACCTTTCTGATGTAGAAGCTTTAAGGCATGAATATTGAAATGGCCAAATCTCCGATGCTAGAGCCATGAGTCATCAACTTCTACCTTCATGGCAATATTTGTGCCACGGTTGAAGCTTAGAGGAAAGCTTCTATTTCTCTTCTCCATTGTTACTTGGCCAATCTCTACCCTTTTACTATCATAAATTTTGCATATATCTCTTTCAAAATGAAGAGAATACCCATTTTCCATCATTTGGCCAATGCTTAAAAGATTTTCTTTAAGATTGGGGACTAGTAACACGTCCTTGATGAATCTCGTACCTTTCTTTGTCTCCACCATCACAGTGCCTTTGCCTTGAGACTCCATCATGGTGTCGTTTCCCAGTCGAACTTTGACTTTGACGGAGTTATCAATGTCTACAAAGATGCTTTGATCCTTAGCCATGTGATTGCTGCATCCATTATCCAAGTACCAGCTTCCATCTCCACTGTCACAAGATTCTTTGTTAGCATAAAACAGATGTTGCTCTTGATTATGCTCTTCGGCAAAATTTGCTTGATGTTTATTTTTGTTACGACAGTACTTCTCCACGTGACCGGATTTATTGCAATAGTGACATATTGGCTTTCTTCATTGCCTTCAAATTCTTCTTCCAAAATATCCCATGCCTTTTTTGCAGTATCGGCGTCCATGATCCTTCTAGCGATAATTTCTCCCACAGCTTGTTAAAGAACAAACAGTGCTTGGGCATCCTTTTGTTCACAATCTTCTAACTTCTTTTGCTCCTCCTTAGACAAAGTGATAGTATTATCTGGTTTTGTATAACCAGATTGAACGATATCCCATAGTTTTTGTGAGATAAAATATGTCTTTAGTTTGAGCTTCCAAAGATCAAAATTTTCACCAGTAAAAACTGGTAAAGGGACAGATGAAAAATTAATGGTATTGGAGGCCATAGATCAAAGAAAAATGTTTATAAGTATAGAAGGAAATTTTAGAAGTAGTTGGGTGATTTTTCTACACCCAGTAGATGACCGAACGTAGCTCTGATACCACTATTAGTATATGATAGTGTCAAGGAAATAGTTGGTGGAATAATAGAAACTTATTTGTATTTAGAGAGTAGCAGTAGTAGTAGTAGTAATTGTTGTTGTTGTTACAATGAAGTTCCAATTTGTCTATTTATAGACATGGTGTTCTATCTCTAGATGATGGTAGAATTATCTAGAATTTTCTAGACTCTTCAAGTCTCTATACTCTTTTAGTTTTTTCTAGAGACTTATACATATTTTCTTATATTTCTATAATTTTCGTTTTCTTTCTTATATATCTTATCTTATGCTTCTAGAATTTTCTTTTTTTTTTCTTTCTAGAATTTGTATCATAATTTAACAGTTATTAATTCATATTCGTAAATTGAAAAAAAAAAATGAATAACTATCATGTTGATCAGGATCATGAACATGCTGCACTACCTAATAAATTCTCCAAAATTAGGACTTTCCATCGCGGCAATTTTTTGTTTCAAATCTGGTTGTACATAGATTATGTAATGTTTCTTAACGTGGTGGATGTCACAGAAAATTTAAAGGCCACGATATTTCAACAGGCGTAATGAGATCAGCCCCAGATTACAGTTCAGTGTACGTAATTTCAAAAGGGAAGATAGTTGGAGCTAGACCAGCAATACGCCCAATGATAAACGTGGTTGCTGCACCAAAAGAAAATGGAGTAAGGTGCCACACAATGAAACTCATCAGTAGCTTTCAAATAGCCATATTATATATATGCCATGATGTGACATGTAAGTTAAAGGGTATTAAACTTTTTTCATATTTTGGATTGGCAACAATGCAAACAGGTCACATTCACATAGAAGAGGGAGCACCAATGGAAGATCAGAAAGATCACCTACACCTGAAATGTCAAGGTCTTCTTCAGCTGGTCAGTCAATGGACAAGAGGTCACTATATAACCTCCGCAACTCAAGCTCGGGTGGAAGTGACTCTGAAGGGTCACATCGAGTTGGGTCAGTGGATCATAGAACTAAACAAGATTGTGATTCAGGCTCTGCATCAGATTCCCAATTCTCAGTATGTGTCCAAAAAGATAAAAGTTTCTCATGGCTTATGGTGGATCATAAATTGGATGAGGAATGCTAGCAATACTCTCCTTATTATTGGTTGAAATTTAAGAAATTACAAATTCTGTGGTTTAGCATCTTATTTAATGAATCTCTTGTGATTTAGTAGTAGAGCTTACCAAAATTTGTGATTTTCAACCAATAATAAATAATATTAGTAAGAAAGTGCTAAAGAGAGTGTTGTTAGCAATTTTTCTAAATTGAATTGTCATTGTTGTTGAACTAGAATAAACCCATTATGTGGCCAAATTAATATGGTGTGATTAAGCGGTAAACATTGGAGTATTTATATTTTACTTCATTCCAGGCTGAAATGGAAGCTGAGATGAAAAAATTGAGGCTCAAACTGAAGCAAACTATGGACATGTACAACTCAGCTTGCAAAGAAGCAATCACAGCCCAAAACAAGGTGATATAAATCGAGTGGTGATCTATGGACACCTAATAAGTTCAAGTACCTAGTTGACACTCATTTATTTCTATCTATCTCTTCTGATACGTGACATCACCAGTCATATCAGTTACTTGTCTCTTCTTTTTTCCTATTTCTCTCTTGATGTCTACCAAGAGAGATATGTCAAGCATCTTTATTTGGTGTAAATTATGCGGTCAGTATAAGAAACCACCTCTCGAGTACTTCATTCGCGACAACATATATAGCAGGGCATTGCCATTAAAGTGATTTACATATAGTGATGCAAGTGGCCTCACCTAATACTCTTCTATAATACTAAGAGTATATTTGGATACAAATTTCTATTAGTTTTTTAGAGTTTCTCTATTAAAAATAAAGAGTTCTTTCTAATAGAAAAATTCTCAAAAACACTTTAACTTGTATCTAATCAAACTCTAAAATAAAATGTGAATGATAAGTACTATTTATTATGAATAATAAGATAAGGGTAGTGATTAATGAGCTTGAATCTTATAGTTTGGAGAAATAAAATAAAATGAAATAACAAAGGGTGTTCTGTCTATATTGCCAGGCTATAGAGCTTAACCAACGGAAACTGAATGAGGAACGTATGGCTGAGGAAGCTAAGTTGTCTAAAGAGGCAGCTATTGCAATGGCAGAAAAGGAGAAGGCTAAAGCCAAAGCTGCCTTGGAAGCAGCTGAAGAAGCCATTAAGATGGTTGAAAAGGAAGCACATAGAAGATTTCATGCAGAGATGAAGGCCAGGAGAGAGGCACAAGAAAAGGATCGGGCATTAAATCAGTTGGCTTGCAAGGATGTTCGATATAGAAAATACACTATAACTGATATTGAAGACGCCACTCAAAAGTTCAACCCATCACTGAAAATAGGTGAAGGTGGATATGGACCTGTGTTTAAAGGCCAACTTGATCACACCCAGGTCGCAATCAAACTTTTAAACCCTGATGCTTCCCATGGAAGGAGGCAGTTCCAACAAGAGGTATGATACATTGCACTACTGTCTTTCAAGATTCTGGTATGTGAGATATGCAAAATCACATTAGGGTGAATTCCTTATTAGTTGTCGATGTAACTGACAATGCATGACAAATAAACTATTTTTGTTAACTTGCTTACTTCAAAATGTCTTCTAATCTATCATGCATGCATACTCCATGAAGCCAATATGTAACTAAACATATTCCAACCATTATGCTTTACATCATTACATGTAAAATTCCAAGTGCCTCTCCTTAGAAGAATGACCTGTATAATTACTGACTTTTCTTTCTCAAAATACTGTTTGTTTTTCAATACTTCTGTTAGAAACTTACTAGTCATGTATAACTACTATGCCTCAAACTAATGACATGTATAATTACTATGCATATTCTAACCATTATGCTTTACATGTAAAATTTCAAGTGCCTCTCCTTAGAAGATCATGTTTCTGCAATTCTGACACTATTTTCCTTCTCACTTGTAGGTTGAGGTATTATGCAGCATAAGGCATCCTAACATGGTCCTCCTCCTTGGCGCGTGTCCCGAGTACGGATGCTTAGTGTACGAGTACTTGGAAAATGGTAGTTTAGAAGATAGATTATTGTTGAAAAATGATAGCCCTCCTATTCCATGGTGGAAACGTTTTGAAATAGCTGCTGAGATTGCAACCGCACTCCTTTTCCTTCACCAAACAAAGCCAGAGCCAATTGTGCACCGGGACCTTAAACCCGCCAACATCCTCTTGGACAAGAACTTTGTGAGCAAAATAAGTGATGTTGGTCTTTCAAGACTAGTGCCACCTTCTGTGGCTGATTCTGTCACACAATATCACTTAACCGCAGCTGCTGGAACCTTTTGTTACATTGACCCAGAGTACCAACAAAGTGGGATGCTAACAACAAAGTCAGACATATATTCTTTGGGGATAATGCTACTACAAATCATCACAGCCAAGCCTCCAATGGGGCTTGCACACCATGTTAGGAGGGCAATTGAAAATGGAACATTTTCAGATATGCTTGATCCTGATGTCCCTGGTTGGCCAGTTGAAGAGGCTCTAGCATTTGCTAAACTCTCATTGGCTTGTGCAGAGCTCAGTAAAAAGGACAGGCCTGATCTTGCATCAGTGGTAGTGCCAGAGCTTAGCCGCTTAAGGGAATTTGGATACACAGCATCGAAAGCTCAGAATCGCCCCAATGCCTACACCAAGGCCAGGAACAAACACATAAAATAGGTTCCATGTTGGTATGTTGGCTTACCTGCCATGTTTTGTGTAGAATCATTTACCCAATTAACTTCTTCACGCATTGTTGTGTTGTGAATGCAAGTTTCCAACAGTTTTCTTGTAATGGAAGAGTTCCTTCAATCTAATTAGATGCTTGGTAGTCCAAGATTGGAAAGTAAAATTGTTATGCATAAGCATAACTTGTAAACAACATTATTGTATTATCAGTGTAAAAAAATTTGCTATACCAATCAGAAATCATGATATGACTTTTAAGATGGTTATTGTAAAAGTTAACAAAATTAGCAAACATGAAAACTTGTAATTGAATAACGGTATAAAACCCCATTAATGCATAAACTCTTCAAAAGTTCAACTTATATGTGGTAGTATTGACTTGAGTCGTAACATAAGATTTTAACCAACACAGTGCCTCAAAATTGAAATGAAATAGTGAAGAGATATTATCAGCGAACTTAGAGAATATTTTGTGATACTAAAATGGTGGAATGCTTTGATACTGCTTGTAATGACAATAATAGACACAATCTGTCATAGTTATTCGCAACAAGTCATGTTTCATTCATGTGGTGTAGCCGTTGTGTCGTAGCTTCCATCACACTAAATTATTATTAATTTATTATAATTGTGGCAAGAATTTGCCGAAAAACTCACAAGTGAAGAGGCTGCTCAGAATCCTAGGTTGCAAAGTAAAGTATAAAACTCATCAGCATATGAAGTAATACTTTGAAACAAGAATTGAACCATGTAAAGATGGATTGCGTTTGGAGAAAGGTATGGAGAAAAGAATAAGATTGTAAAAAGAAGCTTTGCTTTGGACCATGAAAATGAACTGCATATCTACAATATCCAAAATTCAAGGAAATAATAATGTTAGTAATAATAACTGGTACCTGGTCTTCTGTTCTTACATTATCCTGTGGTTACGGGTCCCCTAATTCTATCATCAGATTATATACTTATCAAAATAACTCCAAGTTGTAAAAAGAAGGTCCGATATGAAGGGAAGATTACTTAAAATATTTTAACATAATATGTTTTCTTTGTGGGAGAAGATTAAAACATGTACACTATCAGATAATATATATATATATATATATATATATATATATATAAAATATAATATAATATAATATAATCACGGTAATTTCTATGGGGAATAATTCTCTTCAGGTCCGAAAAGCCATTATGAATGGTAAAACCCTTTCTTTTTAAGTATTTCACATGGCTGCATGTTCATAACTTGAACTTAAAATTATCAGTTAAATTAGAATAATTTTAAACTAGTTAATTTATATGTACTTTCATATTATATAGTGAAATTACCTCATTATCCTCTGCAACACTAGTTCTAAATTTTATTTAACTGAACTAATTAATCAAGTAAATGACATTGGCTTAAGTTTCAAATCTTATTACTGTTTTGTAATTTTTACGAATAAAAAAAAAATACTTTAGCAAGTGACAATATAGGGGTATAAATATGATAAACTATGTTATAGGCCAAAATAAAGTTGGGGAATTAATACTTTTCCACCACGCACCACACCCCGTCCTTAAGGAAGCATCAAAGAATATAACTCAAACTTCTAAGTTCCAAAAGGCCAAAAACACGCTACAAAGGAGAATTCACCTGGTTGTCCCATTATTTCTATCTATATAATCACCCATCCAAGCCCAACTTTCTGACATGTTTCACTGCCACATGCACATGCTTCCCTTGCTTCTCCAAGCTCAAATGGGTCACAGCAAGAATCCAGGATCAACACAAAAAAGTTGGTCTCCATGGACATCAAAAGTTGGATTCATGGTGTTGGCTTTGTGTGCATGCATGGTGACATCAGAGGAGAAAATTGAAGACCCTTTAAGTGGTTCATTGTGCATAAGTGAATGTGCCTCATGTCCTACAATATGTTCACCACCCCCTCCTTCACTTGCATCATCATATTCAAACCATCCACCCCCTTCACCTCTTACACCACAACCACACCTTACACCTCCTCCACAACACCCTACAACACCATCATTGTCATATCCACCCCCTCCTCCTCTCTTAACATCATACCCTTCCCCTCCTCCACTATTAACATCAAATCCACCACCTCCTCCACTTCTAACATCATTTCCACCACCATCACTCTTAACATCATATCCACCCCCTCCACCACTTCTAACATTTCCTCCACCATCACTAGTGCTACCACCTCCAGAAAAGCATTCACAACCTCCTCCATCAACCCCTTCATCAGGAACTACTCCTCCTCCACCACCTTTGAAGTCTAACAATCCCCCCTCAGGTTCAGGACAACCTACAGTAGTTTCTGGACCTCATGACTATCCCTATCCTTATTACTACTATTATACCTCATCTGCATCTTCTTTTTCTCTTCATGTTATGCCTTTCTTCCTCTTAGTGTCCTTCCTTCATGGGGTGTTCTTTTGATGGTGAGCGATAAAGATTCTATTCCGGTAAGTTTCTTCATAAGCATTTCTAAAAGAGGAAAATATAGGAAGAAAAGTAGGTTTCTTCATAAGCTAATGTAAAGAAGTTTTTTTAAATTAATTTCTTCAAAATCTTATTTTTAACTCATGTATAAGTTAATTTTAGTTTATGGAGAAGTTTATTATGATTTTTCTTCTTATTTTTTCTCTCTTAGAAATGCATATGCAGACACTTATCCAAACATGTCCAAACAAGTATTTGTTTATAGTGTACAGCAATGTTTTATGAAAATGCTGGATTATTTGTTGGGAAAATGCAGTCATGCAGAGTATCATATATGTGATTACTAGCAGTTAGGATATTTTCTTTGTGAATTGTGTCAAATTCAAGTTTATAAATGATTGATTATTTTTCTTTATGTTATATACAAAGGCTTGTATTTTTTTTTTTTTACCCAAGCTATGAGAGTTCTGTACAGAAAGCAAGCACCTTATGTTAAGAAATAGTTGTTCGTTTCGTTTAAACATGCAAAGTGAAAACAAATATAACGCTATTGATCTATAAATTTGTTGTCAATTTAATTCACCACAATACTTGAAATTCATAAAATTTGGGTCTGTAAAATTCATAAGCCAAACTCATGCTAATTGTTATTCAAGTTGATCATAACCTTGCCCTTTTATGCTCAACTAGCGTTTATCACGGGTTGCTAGTAATTTTTTTCCTGTTTATTTTGAAGTGTTATTATATTAGGTTTATTGAGAATTGCTTTTCTTTTCAACAAAGAGAAGAATATACTTTTATTGTGATAAACCTATTCGCCTAGAACTGATAAAAAAAAAACACTATATATGTCTATAAAACACTAACAAATGAACATAATATAAACCAACAAATTCAATGAAAGTATATGGAAATCCAGTAAATCAACAAAAAGGTTAACATCCCATCTCGTAATTGAATAAAAATGACAAATATCGATTCACTAAAAGCTTAATTAAAAATATATGCTGCCCACTCAAGATTTCACTTAAAAAAAGTGTGAATATGGTATGTACAATTCCAATATTAATCTACACAGCAACACCATCAGGGAGTTTCTACATCCAAGATTATCACTTTCCTCCCCGTATCATTATTTTTGTTACTGATGTGAGAGTTTGAACAGTATTGATCTATATATGAAACTAATTAAGAAAGAGAACATAAAGAAAATAAACTTAGATCCAAAAGCCTATATCATACGTTTGTTACCTAAACGTCTTTCCTTCGATTTCGCACGTAAGTTTGACAAAATAACCATTGAGAGCAGCACCTTATTAGTGCTTTGAGAAATGTTTAGCTGATTTCGAAATAACATATTCTTCTAATCTACCATTTTAACTGTACTAAATAAGTTATAGTATTCATTATCGTCATCTCACGTTTCATACATTTTTATACAATTATGCTGATTTCCTTTGAAGTTAATGTTAATCACACTTGCATACGACAAGTCGTTGCAACTTGCATATCTAAAATTCACACTACTAGAATTTCTTTTATTACATGCGATTTTTCTTGCAAATTTTTCATATAAGTTCGCAGGAAACGTTCTTACAAAATTTTTTGCAAAATTTTATTTCTAGATAATACCTTCGTGGATAATGTTTCTGCAAATTTTAAAATTTGCAAGAATCTTTCCTGCGAAAAAAATTCGTAGGAAATTTTCTTGTGAAAAAAATTAGCAGGAAATTTTTTCGAAAAAAATTTGTAGGAAAGTTTCATGTGAAATTTCCTGCGAATTTTTTTGCAAAAAAAAATTAAAAAATTACTATTCGAGGGTAATTTTTGTACAATTTCTATTAATAATTCTTCAACTTTTAAATGCTTACAATGAATTTAATTCATCTGAAGCATGTAAATTGTAGGTCTAACACTCAACCATACAAAATCAACTTATAAGGTGAGTGTTGCCCCAACTTATATACTCTTTAATTGATTTCTAATCGATGTGTGATCTCGAGGTAATTAAGTCTTTTAATTCTTACACTTATAAATTTATATATATATATATATATATATATATATATATATTTTTTTTTCCTGTGAGTTAAAATTGGCAGAAAAATCTATAAGAAAAGTTACCTACGAAATTTTTCTACCATTTAGTAAACATTACTTGCAAATTTATTTTTACAAGAAAATCCACAAGAAACAAGATAAAATTCTTACAACATTTTCTACAAATTTTTACCATGGAACAAAATTTCTATGATCATTAAAATTGTAGCAAAGTTTTCACAAAAAAAAATTGTGGATTATTTTTCATAAAAAAATTTTGTAAGAAATTTCTGTGAATTATTTTTTGCAAATAAATTTGCAAAATTTTTTGTAAAAATATTATTGCAAGAAAATTCGCAAAAAAAATCTACGAATATTTTTTATAGAAAAATTAGCAGGAAAATAACACTTCTAGTAATGAAAACTGAAAATAAATATTAGAAAAAAATCTTTTTTTTATCATTAAAATAACAATGATGACATTGGAGATCAAATCTAAGACTCATTGAAAATTTTTAATTTTCAAAACTTTTAAAAACTTAAAACTCCTAGCGGGCATAGTATGTTTGTGAATTTCAAGTGTTGTGGTGAATTAAATTGAGAAAAAAATTTTAAAACTGAAAATAAATATAAAAGAAAACTGATTTTTATCATCAAAATTATAATGATGACACTGAATTTAAACCTAAGATCCATTGAAAATGACTTAATTTTTAAAAATTTAAAAACTTATAACTGCAAGTGGGCCTAGTATTTAAAAAGTACTCGAGAAGTAATCTTATTAATATAGAGAATAAAGTGATCACATATTTATTTTTTAAATGTTTAATGATTCAAATTTAATTATAATTAAATTTTTGAAAATTAAACAAAATATCTGTAATTAGAATTTCTCCTTTTTATGAGAGTATTGTCATCGTTACTACCACCAACATTGTTGCACCATTATTATTGTTGTTGTTGTTACAACTATCTCCTACAACTACCTTTGTCTATTACTATCATTGTCATCGTCACCACCACTATCATCGTCGCCTCCATAATCACTATCATTGTCGTAACCATCATTGCATCACTACTACTATTGTCACCTTTGTCGCCACCACTATCGATAGTGGTGGTAGAAACAATGATAATAACAACGGTAGTGATGATAATGATAATGATAATGACATGACAACAACAATAGTGATGATTATAATGGTGGTGTTAGTGTGGTGGTGATAGCAACGAGATGGTGATGGCGATGGTATGATGATAAGTGCTATGATTTCATTAAGTTTATGGCCTAGTTTGAAGCACTTATATCAATTTCCCTTGCTTTAGACTTTGTTTTTAACTCAAAACATATCTAAATTGTTAGGTGATCACATTTTGTTTTTGAATCATGTTTTTAGGTAACTTACAAGTATTTGGTTGTTGTTTTGTAGTTTAGGAGAAAGCTAGGAAAGAAGGAAGGAAGTCAAGCACAAAGTGGTGAATTTGAAGTTGAAGGAATTTTTGGTTAAGTTCCCAGGCTAAGCCCCAGATCCACGCTTAGCCTCAGCATGGCAGAGAATCCCTAGAACAGATTTTGATCCCCACGCTGAGCGTGGAACTGAGGCTTAGCGTGGATTGTGCTGACATGTCATTATTCACATAAGACAAAAGCTTTTATGACCTAAAAGTGGGATTTTCGAGGAGAGAAGCAAGGAGGATCATTCTTGGACTTTGTGTGGCGGCTGGAGAGCTCTGGAACCTTCAAGATCAAGCTTCTTCCTTTCTTCATCATTTGTAGAGTTCTACATGTCTATGTGTAGCTAAACTCACCCTTGTTGGGGTTTGATGTAACTAAACCCATTCTCATGTGTAAACTCTAAGCTATCAATCTAAGTTGTTATTCAGTTTTATTGCTCTTTTTCTGTGCATAATGCTTGTTATGGCTTGATCACCCTTAACTTGAACTTAAGGTTTTTAAGAGATTGAGAAATGATTTTAAACCTTTGACTTGAAATAGAGCAGCTAATGGTGCTTATTGCTAGAGATAGAGTAAATGCCATTGGTCTTTCTTAAGCTCTTGTTTTTAAAGCTGGTTTCTAGGTTAAACTATGCAAGAGATTGATAGTTTAAGCTAGTAACTTAGATTCCAACTTGTAAGAGATTAGGGTTGGTTACTTTAGAGAGTGATTGATAAATTTTGAATAATAACTATTGTGAACTTAGTGATAAGCATGAGAGGAAGGTTTAGTGAAGTCAAACCCCAACAATTTATTAATATTGCATTAGAATCAAGTTTTGCACTCTAAGTGTTTACCAAAATACCAAAAAGAATTGTTATTGCTTGTTTACATTATTTACTGCAGCAAATCAAACTCTTATTGTTTTTCGGTAGCTTAGTTAGTATAACAAGTGAAATTGCAAAGTGTTGCGCAAGTCCCTTGGGAGACGATACTCATACTTTCATTGAACTACGTATACGATTTGGTACACTTGCCAAACGAGATAACATATGTCAAAAAGGTGGTGGTGGTTGTGATAATGACAATGATAGTGGTGGTGTGACTATAGTGATGATGGCCTGGGTAATTGTGGTGATGTCGATGTTGTTGGTGGTAATGGTGTTTGTGAATGTGGTCCAATCTAGTGATCTAATTACTCAAAATTGAAAAATTGGTTTTGTTCATACTATTAGATCGGTTTGGATTTGAAAATTGAAAATCTAATTAGTTAGATTCGGATATTAGATTTTGATTTTTAAGAATCGAACTAAATCGATCCATATGATTAATTTAATATTTTATTATTGATTTACTATATTTATTTTGGGTTATCAAATAAAGGGGTACCAATAAAAGACAAATAAAGGATAAGTAGTTCATTCAGCCTATTTTGTTTTTGTTTGAAATTGACCATTTGTTTAATATCAAAGGACAAAAATAAAATTCAAAATTTTTGTTTGTCTTATTGAGAGTATCTTTCATTCGTGAAAGTTGAGTACTAATTACATATTAAGATTTTTATGATGTTGGTTGTAAAATTTGGGATGTTTTGTGAAATTTGTAATTTTGAAGATGACATACAATAGATTTGTAGATTGTGGTGTTCAACAAATTTAAGTTTTGATTTAATGATATTTGTTACTTTTTAAGTTTGTAATTTTTAATATTTTAAATAGTACTTTATAATGTTGTTAGACAAACAATATTTTATAAGTTGATGACATGAAAATATATTTTACAAGTTGTCTAATATAACTTTTATCTTTTATTTTTATTTATTTTTTATTTTACAGATAAATTCAATGAACCAATCTAATACAAACTAAATATGATTAGATTGAATTGGTTCAAATTGAAGATTGAAAAACAAAAACAACGAATCAATCCAATCCAATCCAATTAAAGTTGATCAATCAAATCAAAATATGCTGTAAATTCAATCTGATTCAATTTGCGCCCTCACTTAAGTGGTGGTGGTGGTGTATTGTTCTCACATAAGGAAAAATTTTAATGTGCAAATACTTTGTTTAATATTTTTAATAAATTTT